GAGAGACGGCAGGTGCCTATGCGCTATCTTATCTTGCGTTTTGCGAAGAAGGACAACTGTAGTCATATTATTACCCGCATACATAGAACCAATGAGTCATGTACTGCAACGAGACGTTCACCGCGGGAAGGACTTTCTTTCCCGGCCGAGCGAAGAGGAGAAAAATCGATCCGGGTTCTTGAGCGGGCCAGGCGACGGGCCGAAGTCAACATGTTCAATTACGGGGGGGGTGTACTCATGTAATCGCATGCGGTAGTCGTTAGACGATGGGACCTAGCACACCGACAATGCCGGGACGGAGTGAAATGCCGGGTTTTAGCCGGCCCAAGCTATATTCCCAAAGAATGAACCAGAAGTTGGACATCATCCTTTTGCGCCATGAGCTGATCGAGCATCCCGGCTTACCAAGCGTTTCACAGTCGGCAGGCAGTGCAATAGTTCAAGGGACTTTGATCTTTGCGCGCTTGTACACAACAGACGCGCCATACACAGCGAACAAGTCGCTTCGTGTTGGTACACTTGAAGAATAATGTGCCCACATATACTTCAGGTGGAAAAGCTAAGGTTCCGGATGGAGTACATAGTACTTTTCGCTCTGGGGCGATCCAAGTATCTGTAAGAAATGAAATCCAACGCATGAACAAATAAACAAACAACAAGCCCATTTGAGGGGGGGTCATATCTCCCAGCTTCGCTGAGAACACTCTAATTAATCGACAAGTCTCGGCCCAGAGCGCTCGAGCTGAACACTCTTATGAATCGATAAGTTGGAAGATCCAAACAGCCCCACCCTTCGTCTTTTGCTTGCAAGCGTTCAGCAATCGCCAGATCTCCGTTTTCGCGTGTGGACTGCTCAAAGGCCATCATTTATTTGTCATTTTGAGCCCTGAACGGCCACCAATTCTTCGTGCCGCGAGTGGGTGAGCACAAACAAGTGTCCCAACAACAATCAAAACTATCGCAGCAGGGAAGACAGCCAGTAGAAACCAGGATCGCACGAGTTCTGCAAAGGAAAGGATGACGATCGCGCATGAACAAATAATCCCGCAAAAGCCAGCTGAACACTCGAGGTAGAAAAAAAGAAAAAAGAAAAAGGCAAAACAGGTCACAAGAGTCACCTCACCATTACGTCGGTAGCAGTGTCCCGGTCCTTCTCCAGCTGATCTATAGACTCTTGCACGCTGCGGACCTATCACATCAAGACATACATACGTACGCATACGACGGATCGGCGAGTGCATGGAAGGAAAAGCAGGCCGATGAAAGTTCTTTGCCTGCGGCGTGATCAGCAGTGTGCGGGGAGATGCAGAGAAGAGAGAGAATGAGAGAGAGAGAGAGAGAGAGAGAGAGAGAGAGAGAGAGAGAGAGAGAGACCGTACGCGTAGAAGTTCGGCATCGATTGCTCGATGGAGGAGGACAGAAAAGGGCATGCACTACCCCTTTTCATCTACTATACCTATGATACCGGTTCTACGTCGCCCCCTCGACGAAGGCTTCACGCCGTCACCATCTTGACAAAGGGTCGTTCCCGAAACTTGAGATCAAGCGACTCCAAAGGTAGCCACTACACCATAGGGTAGCGAGAACCTTTTACCGCAGAGAGGGGACACGTGGACAGCTCATCTGACGACCCACCACCTATAATACGTACTCACGTGTCGGTATGGCCATCGCAAAATGCCAAACTCTCGGCACTTCTTTAGCAGCCTTGCCACGGAGACTTTTAGATCTCTGGCGACTGTTTCAAGACAACAAGTGTGCGGGGGGTAGGAGAAACAAAGAGCAAGCGAGACAGAAGCAAGGGGCATCAGATACACAAATACGCGGCGGCACTGAAAACGTGCGTGGGATGTGAGAGTTCAGGAGACTGACATGCCGTAAGGACCGTCACAAAAGAGGCCGTCAGTGCCAAGACAGTACGAGCAGCTTCACGAAACGATTACCAAATCTGAAGCATCATTACACCAGAACGACTCCTGTGTGTAACTCTTTGTGTACGTTCAGATGAGGGCCGCCTGGAAACTTAGAACTAAGTATTGACTACTCTACCAACAAAACAGGGTGACGCTTACACGAAGCACAAAATCAGGGATAAACGTAGACAACCCCGCCTCAATCCTGGGGACAAAATCAGAAACAACCCCGAGGAGGGGGGATTGGTTTAGCCCGGGGAAGGGTGCCGAGCCCGAAACCTCCAAAATGTACGGCTCCGAACACGCAATGTACGGCTCCGAACATGCCCCCCCCCCCCCTCCCCTTTCCAGCCCCAAGTGCACCCTTCTCATCGAGGGAGTGTTGTGTTAGATACTGGTTCGCTATTTGGAAGATGCCGCACCCCTTCTTGCCTCTAACGAGCGGGTCATTTCTTAGACCATGGGGCACCTTCTTGAGGTGGTGGTGTGGAACAAGGGGCGGAGAGTGGCGTAGATTTCACGCGTGCCCTGACCCCTAACACCAACGTTTGCCACCACATGGAGAATTCCTGCTTGATGACGGCTGCATGCTTGGTTGTATGCTGGCTACGTACAAGTTGTATGTAGTTGCCGTAACTGTCCCAGGACTAGGGCCAGCAGGTAGTTGGTGCTGTGCCGTGAAAGGCGGTTGCGGACATGAGATCTTGGTTTTGACTGACTTCGACCGACCGACCGAAGAGCACTCCGTACAGCCGCAAACGACGAAGAGAATCTACAAGGAGAGGAAACGTCCAAGCCACGGCAGAGAAGCCCACAGCCAAAAAAAGCCTGGTGGTGTACGTCCACGAGAGGCCCAGACAAAAAGACAAAGAACCAACCCGCCCTCCGGGCATTTTGTCGCACCGGGGGAGTGTTTTCTAGAAAGTAAACATAACCTCACAGAAAGACTACCCGTTCGAGATAAAACCTCAGTCGAAAGGGATGTGGTGAAGTATTTTCAGTAAGTGGACTGAAACCGACGGAGACTTGGCTTATTTTTGAGTTTGTGTAAACCTAACACTGCGTTTTCAGTTATGCCAGTTGGTGCAAAAAACAAGTGCATCTGTATAGGCGGATATTTTCTGCTTCTCTTGTTTTTTCTACGTTTTTCTAGACGCCCCGGCGGCAAAAATATTTATTTCCGAGTGTTTTTCTTCCGTCTCAGCTTCCCATCGCCTCCCCTACTCCAACCGCTTCCCGCGCCAGGCGCGGCGTACTCTGTGCTGAGCTGACTACTTGACCCCCCTTCACCCCGAACAAGCCACGATGCCCTGGCTCTTTCCCCCCCTCTCCCTCTCCCTGCCATCTCTCCCTTTGCCACATTCCTCCCGATGGTTGCCCATGCGTTCTTCTGGTCCCGCCTGCTTCCTCATGGCGTGGAGTGTGAAGAAGACCTTCCGTCTGAGACACACAATATTTCTTGGAGGAGAATGATTATCTGGCACCCCAGCCTCCAGATGATACCGCCCATTCTATTCCACCATGCCGCCGATGGATGATGTCTCTTCACGTTCTGCTACAACTGCATGCATATAGTAGGACGTCACAACCACAACCTCGGATTACTACACTGTACATATAACCTTGGTTTTGCTTCCCTTGCATGGCAGCTGCTGAAACCACAAGCTTTCTCCCATATGACACCAGACCGTACGTATGGCTCTTGTGTATGGATACTGGTATCTCTTCACCTAAGGTCTGCTAGGGTGGGTGACCTCGTAAACCTGCCACTACTGGCTACTGGTATTTACTATTTTAGTAGCTTGTTGCGGGTTCCATCTCGCCCGAGTGAAAGTGAAAAATTGGCGATGCTGCGGCTGACAACGCTTGATTCGTGAGGATATACCGCAGTGACAGGGGAGTGCCTACTGAACCCTTCTTCTCGAGTTATACATTGAAGACAAAGCCCCGCAGGGGGGAAATAAAAAGAAACAAAGGTGATTATTCTTTTTTCCCTTGGTTGTGCTTCTCTTGCACGAACTTCTCCCATATTGCACGAACAGTCCCTATACGGCTCTTTCGCATGAAAACTGGTATGTATCCCTTCACCTAAAGTATCTCGTAAACCTTGTGCTGCTGCGGTCGTACCAGAGGTGGCAGTTTCGGCTATCTCGCTCGGGAGTCAATCAAACTTGCAATCCTGCGGCGGACAGTGCTTGATTCGTGAGCATAAGACAACACAGCAGTGATAATCATGGGCCTACTGAACTCATTATCGCAGTGATGGCAAAGTGCCGCAGGGGGAAAAGGTGGGAAAACAAAAAGATAAAAAGATCAGTCAGTCCCGCTGTTGTTTTTTGTCTACAACCTCCCTCCCGCTGGCGTGACCCTGGGTGATATGTACGCCCAGAGCACAGCAGTAGTAGTAACTAGTGCGTCATGGTGGGGACGAAAACACGCAATCAACACACACAAGTCGGTGAGATGTACTTCAACAAGCACCCACACAACAATCAAGCCACTTTTGAGTAAAACTGCAGACTGGCAGACGTCGGTCTAATATCATTAACGTCAGACCAGACCAAAGCTAATGTTTTTAAGGCAGATAGATGTCACAAAACTTCGACTGCTGGGTACTTCGAGACACCGAAATTTCAGATGGATTGCGTTGTTGCTAGAACGAAGAAAAAAAGAAACTGGGTCCGCGAGATGGGGGGTAGATCAGGGGATATTCTGGAACTGCACATTTCGTCCTTTTGACAACCGCGCGTGGTGGATGTCTCCAAATATGCTTGTATATGTACATCAGCGTCCACGGGAATTTTCAAGTCTTTCGAAAAAAACATCATCTCCACGCGCATGGAAATTGCTTTCTCGAACAGAGGAAACTCGTCCCCCGTGGGGAACGCTGCTGCCTGGTTGTTCCAACGCGAGGAAACCAGAACTTCACGCGTCATAATATGCTTGTACCAATGGCAGATTTTCCCCCTCTGGAAAAGGCTTAAAATAGTTAGAGACCTTCTACGGGAGATACACATATGCATACAAAGGAGGGGCGGATAGACTGCTTGTTGTCCATCTTTTACGCTGTCCATCTTTGGCAAGTCTTCAGTATTGCATGTACAAGGCGGGATCAAGATGAGCGCCGGTTGTCAGTTCCAACGGAGGTTCGCTCGCATATCCAAGATATTTCGGGTTGGCCGCCCCGGGGGTCTTGAAGATATCTTGAAACGAATGAAGCAACAACGGGTGGTCACGGTCGTTGTGGTTTCAAATTACAACTTACAATTTTTGGGCGTGACCACGTGACGTGTGACGCTGCCCTGGTTGTTGAAGAAGCCCTTTGTTGTCAGCATGCAAGATTCGAATATATGTCTTTTCAGTCGTTGTTGGTTGCCGAGAGAAAGAAGAAGGATTGCCGCGACCCAACATCGAGGCATGCAGATACCGCCGTGATCATGCATGCGTGGGTCCCGATTTCGTACTCGATCTCCTATGAGACGGTTGTCCCAGGTTGGCAATCACACTCCTCATTGTACATAGACCGAACCAAACGTAGACGGTAGGTGGTTTGCGCCGCAGCCGGCAACAACAGGCGGAAAGCACAACAAACGACCAACTGCTGTGACGGGAAAACAACCCCCGCCTCGCTACATGCACAACTTGAAATGATGCGGGCGAGGAACAACATTGAAATGCATCGACGCCTGTCTGCACCATCATCTCCAGTTGCGCCCCCTATCTACTCGTGTACGTTGGCATCAAGGTCACGCTGACACCGTATAGCCGCAAGAGGGCAGGTCACCATGCACCCGCCGGCCATTCTTCGCTTCGAAATTTTCAAATCGAAACACCGAAACAACCGTGCAACCCAAAGGAGCAAGTTTTCATTTGGTTGGGATGAGGGGGGTGGGGTTGGGACAGCAGTTTGTAGGCACACTGGTGACATCCCTAGGGCAGAACCCACGGGCAGCAGCAGCGGCGGCAGCAGCAGCAGCAGCAGCAGCAGCAGCAGCAGCAGGATCATCTCACACACGGTAAACACGAACGAACTCACTCAAGAACAAGGACGAGGATTTTCGTGAGAGAAGCAGCGTCTCGAGGGAAGGAACAGAGTTGTTGTGTCTGTGTGTATGGGAGACGGATTTCACTCTGGGTCAAACCGATGCCACCAAACATGGGGCGGTTTGGGTGGAGAGCGAGAAAAATATCCCTCACTCTGTCGTAACTGCTGTGCGCGTGGCCAAGGGCGGCGCCGCCCCCACGAGGACCCAAGAGCGCGCCAAAACACGTGAGCAAGCAGCTGCCGAACGGCAGACGGGGTGCGCCACCATGTTTGTTGCGGTCTATGTCTAGGCATACTGCTGTCGGTCGGGACGTCAGACAACCCGAGAAAGTGGAGAGCGAAAATCAAAGACCACCAAAAAGTGGCACTTTCCTAGCTCAACAAAATCATGCCGTTGCGCCTTGGTTGTCGAGCGTTTGGACAGCATACAGAACGCGGGCCACGACTGTGTTGGGAGCCACACCGAGAGGAAAGTCTTGGCGATATGTTTAGCCGTGGTTGGTGGTTCCTGCCCCACCACCTTTTGCCGTTGTATTTTCTCGCGAAACCCACACAAAACCGCCGCGGTTTCGGTTGGGCGAGGCCCCTGCTGCAATGGAAAAAAAATGATCAGGTTGAATAGACACGTATGCTACAACCTTACTTTCCGTGCCCCCCGACCCACTCACCATCAGACAGAGGGCGATGGTACTGCTCCTGCAACCGTTTGAGGCTGATGCTCTTGCACGCTTCGCTTGCTGCCGCTCGCTGCGCCGCGCTGCTCCCCCTGTGACGCATTACGCATATGCAAAAAAAAAGGGTGAACCGGAGGGAAATACGATACTTCTGCTTGAGCAAGCTCTTCTTTTCAGCAGTGACAAGCAAATCAAGCAAGTCGACGAAAGCTGCAGCATCGTCATCACTTTTCGTCAACCACCACGTGGCTTTGGCAGCAGGAGAAGTATCCTCTCTCTCTCTCTCGTTCTCTCCGCAAGCTTGATCCATTGCCGGATCCACCAGAAAGGCGAGAAATTGCTGTGCCTGCCCCCCCCCCCGTTTCAGCAGCAGCAGAGCCAGCCGCACACATCCATTTTTCCCTCTGTTGTGGAGCCTCTCGCCTCACCTTCCCTCCACGCGCGTCCGCTTCCCTGCAGATGATGCGCCTTTGCCGTCCTGCGCTTGCTCATCATCGCTCATCCCTGCCCTCCCGAGACTCTGAAAGCGCAACGCTTAGCTGCCGTGATGCCGCGGCCAAGCCCGTCTTGCAATCGTGGTGTAGGGGGTGCACCAACGAATTAGAGCGAGCGCAAGCGCGCGCACGGCTTAGGACGGGGGCTTGCCCGCTCAGCGATGGTCGTTCGATCGCTGGTCGTTGCTGGTAGTTCCCAGCGGACAATTGTTCGACTGCTTAAAGAGGCAGGCGGAAAGGACCATATGTGCAACAATCAACCGTGCTCAGTTCCTATATTTCGCAAAAGTGATGCAGGTCAACGGTCTCTTGGGGAGGGTTTAGGGTTTTTGACCATAGTGCTTTGTACTTGCATCAGACGTCGTCACTCGTCAACCAGAGGCCTCTGGCGGACGCGCCCGGCTCCTCGCCGCTGCCCAGAGGCCTCTCTGCGTGTCCGTGCTGCATCTACTGTCCCCCCACCGGCGGTTAGGGGGCAAGAGAGCACCAACAAGTCGTTGGGCACAAAACCGTTTTCCTCCCCCTTGCTCTCTCTCTCCTTCCTCTCCGTCTCCCCTCTCTCTTGCGGCAAAATATTCTGTTCTTTCCTTGATTTTCGAAAGATCCGGCAGCCTTCCGGCAGGACTACCGGTACAAGGACGATGTGAATACATATATGCATACAGCAGTAGCAGTGTCGTAAACTAAGAACATATGCCCCCGCCTCTATCAACATCTAGGCGGGACGGACGGCGCATGCCATCACATGGGTGCATGTCTTGTTTTGCGTCCCCTGGGTGCATTGAAAAGTTCGGTTGGCAGTGGGGGGCGCGATTCATCTATATTTGTTGTCCCGGTCATCATCCATGTATGTACATGTGCTGATGGCTGGGATGGTGTCGGTTGCACATGCTCGCCCACGCACACCTGCACTTCTCTCTGCCAGTCACAAAACACACAAAACTCGTTCGCTCATCTCTCTGCAGCATGGTGTTGAACCACCTACCTGTTGTGTGAAGGCAAAAACAGCAGCAACAGATGTGCTGTTGTGTGTTGAAAGATTTTGTTGTTTCGTGTGAATATCTTGCATCCGACACCTACGTACGTCCAGAGTACCCTTTTGGGAGGGGCTGACAACGTTACAACCTGCGGGGCCCCTGGCGCTGTAGCAGCAGAGCAGGCAGACTCGTAAGTACAGGACCAGACTCATAAGTACAGGACAGAGGATAACCTCCCTCTCTCCTCTCTCTCTCTCCCTCTCTCTCTCGCTAGCAGCAGCCGACGAGTGTGGTTAGTTATTCCAACTCTAAGCCTTATTACTATGAACCTGGTCGGCGGCTATGAGTCCTCCGACGATGATGATGAGCAGCTACAACCGCCGCCGCCGCCGCAGCAGCAGCCGCAGCACCAGTCCGAAGGAGCCTTGAAGCAGAAAGGAAAGGCACGAGCGGTGAGAAGCGTGGTCACACCGGCGACAACCAAGGCTTCCAGCAACAAGGCAAAGAAGCGGAGCAGTAGCAAGAAGACGACGAACTCGAAAAAGAAGAAGAGCAAGAAGACCGTCAACGCCCTCGTGCTCTCTCCCGAGATTCAGGCCGCGCTCGCTCGCGGAGACTCTCTAGGAGACAGCGACTCCGACGACGAGGATGGTGTCGCCAAGAAGCCCAAGATCGTCCGCCGACCCGCCGGGAGCGACCCGAGCGACCTGCTGTCGCTGCTGCCTCAGCCGTCCACAGCCACGAGCGCAGATGACATTCTGCTCAAGAGTCAAAAGAAGAGAGACGACGCGAGGACGGCGAAATCAGCAGCAGCAGCAGCAGCAGCAGCAGCAGCATCGGCGGCGGCAACAACAGTAGCAGCGGCGGCGGCAACAGCAACACGAGCAGCAGCTGCTGGCGGCGGCGGGGGCATCCAAGGCCAGGCAGAAGAAGACCAAGAGTTCGAGTCGGACGAAGACGGGGATGACCTTCTCGCTGGTATGCACGCCAAGTCGGCGGCGGCGGCGGCAGCGGCATCTGAGACCGGCTCGAAAAGCGGCCCTCTTTTTACCCTCCCCTCTCGAGCAAGACCGCCCCCCGCTGCCGCGCCCGCCGACCCACCGGAAGAGGGCATGGGGGAGTTGGTCAGACCTAGCGGGGAAGACACAGCAGCGGTACCCAGGCATCTCGAGACAGGGACACCGGGCCCAAGTGCGGGGCAACAGCAGTGGGGAGGGTTCGATCGAGGGCATGCCGCGGCGTTTCCCCAAGGAAGTTATGCTGGGGCCGGCGGCTACGGTGGAGCGGCGGGGGCAGTGGGAGGGGTTGCGGCGGCAGGAACAAGCGCTACCGATTACGCCATTTATGGGGCTGCTTCACAACAGGTAGGTTATGGTTTCCTTGCATTGGGCTGTCTTGAATACCTCGGTGGTATTTCTGCGGCAACGACGTGTTGCTCTTCAGAGATGAGGTTGTCCTGGATGCACACCTCGGTCTTGTCGCTACCATTGACAACATGCTTTCCCCGCCACCCTCTTCTGCCGACGGATGCAACAGCAGCAGCAGCAGCAGCAGCAAACGCCATATTATCACCCTTATGCAGCTGGGGCGGCTGCAGGTAGCTGCCAGCCCGAGTTCGGCGGTGGGGGAGCCAAGGCGACGAGGCGAAAAGGAAGGGATATGGAGCGCGCATTGGCGAGGGGAAATTTGGGAGCCTTGGGGAGCGAGGTGAGAACTGGCGAGGAAATTTCTCGGGTCGCCCATAATGATATGCGCTCTTATGCTGCTACACGGCTTGGCGTCGCTAGAAGAAGGCTCCCGTGTTCGGTGTAACTTGACGAGGCTGCCCCTTACCTCACCCCTTCCCGCTCCGCTCGAATGGGTGCCCTAGATGCCGGTGATGGACCTAGAACAAGGCAGCAACGAATACAACCCCCTGCGAACGAAGCCGACCACGGCTGCCATGAACCAGGAGCAGAAGCACATCGAGAGCAGTGTTTACGACCCGAGCACCGGGAAGACAGTGGTGAGTCTGCCGTGTGTCGCGGAAATGCGTTGCACTGCTGTAGGCCAGAGGGACATGGCGCTCTTTCAAGCAATCGACGGCTCTGTAGTGTGGCGTTCGCACTCCCGTTATTTTTGTTGCGAAACGTGTATGCCTCACCTGCTGTTGTATGTATCCGAGGTAAAGATGTACTACAGTACACAAAACGGCGAGTGGCGTACGAGTGGCGTAAGCGCCCTCCCCCCTAGCGGTTTGACGAGGCGTCTTTGCGAGCCGACGACGACTGTTGCATTGTACACATGTGTAACTTCTATACCTTGTGAGCTCACTCGTTAGGTAGCTACTGCTGTGCGTGAGATGTATCCAACATGAAATGGGCATGATGAGTGTACCATGCACAATATTGAAGTATCTTGCACAGCAGTACCAACCCTCAAAACGTTGCTCCTAGGATAACAACGCGCCACGTGGCGCGTTCGGACGACGGTTTATGTCTGAACGTGATAAAAACCATGGCGTACTTCACGAATTTTATTTTTGTTGCGGGGGGGGGGGCAGGCGGTCACACAGATCCAACACTTTGCGTGTTGCAGGATTCCCAATTCCGATGCGGCACATCCGACCCCGGCCCAGGTCGTATGTCGCTCACAAATTATTTGCTATTGCGGATCACTTGGAATCTAAACGAATACGGAGCACCGCAAGTCGACATCGTCATCATTTGACTGACTTATCATGTATCGCTGGGTTTTATCTTCGATATCTGCGACTGGTGAACCCAGAAAACTCTGGAGCCGACGTCGATGCAGAAACGCAAGCACCAGATCAACCAGCTGGCGGCGCAGGCGGCCAGCATGGAGCGCGATTTGATGGAGCGTAGCGGCGCGTCGAGATTAACCAAGGCACAGACCCACGCCAAGTACGGCTGGTAGTCCATTCTGAGGTGTGTTGCGCGTGATCGTGAACGGCCCTGCCCGGCTTGCCTGGTACGGGTGGGCGGTGGCCTACTGGGCCAACAACCAAACGATGCGACTGCCTGATGAATTTTGGATTTTGCTCGTGTGGATTGAGTCTTTGGGGGGGTGCTTTTCGTCGACACATGATCGATGAAGAAGCAACGCACCACGTTACGGAGCTATTCGAAATGATTTGTTGCGTGTTTAGGTCGGTGCTCTCTTTGAACTCTAGCCCGCCTGCTCTGTGTTTTCTAGCCGGACGGCCCCAGTAGCTCTGTCAGGACTAGCCTCTTCTAAACATGGTAATTTTGTCCTCGGTGGCTTGCTTTGTGACAGTTGTACCACACAAGCGTCCTTCAAGTCTCAGGTAGTTTGCAACGTGCAGGCCAAGTTAAGCGAGCTTGACTTATCCGCGGTGTAGAATCCGAGTTCTTATCGTAGACCCGGGCCGCGGCAGGGTTCGTGTGTCACAGGAGCTGCGCGTTCAATACATCCCACCTAGCTGCTCTGGGGGTGAGTATTATTTCGTAACGCATACCACATAGAGTTACAAGAAGAACCTCGCTTACCCTTCCTGGCGCACGGCGTCTTTGTGCATGTACTAGAGGCGCAAGAGGCAGTGTGGCGAATCCACATGTTTGATGTTTTGTGCTATTATTTTTGCCGATAGCACACACATTTCGACTGGCACACAAAACCGGGGCTGCCAGTGCTGTATCTGCATACTCCTGTGGATATCGGGTGCGACTTGTGGTGCTTGTGTTTCTCTGTGTGGGACAACAGTATGGCGTGTGTCAATACGCGCCCACACATAGTTCTCTTCGCTGGTCAGTCAGCGAACGCGGCCGATGCCTGTTAAAAGAAATGCGGAACACAGTGCGCGCAGATTTTTTTTTTTCGCGGCGCGTTGTTTGCGCGTTGGGCCAGGGTAATACTCGTGACGTAGTTTTATTTATTGACAAGGCGCATCTTCCATCACTGTCAACCCAAGTCTTCCCCGCTCCCCCAGACAAAGCTGCCACACTTCAGATGTTCGTGGGCGATTTCTTTCAACACGAGTTTTTTCACGCTTTCTTTCTCTCGCTCGCTGGGGGAGAGGGGAGAGGGAGTGTACTTTGCATTGTTCGACGTCGCAAGCGGGGAATCTTCATTCGGAGGAATGTCGCTCAGTGCGCTCCTGGTTACTAAGAGTGGTTCCCACCCCAACACGCAGATATCTACCTTACGAGCCTTTGTGTTCAGGGTGCGATCGTCTACGCGCATCCCCAACACCGCGAGAGGTTACAGTAGCAGCAGCCCCGTGACGGCTACTGATCCGAGCCCCTGGGCCACCCGCTAAACCGGGGCGGCTGCCAGACCTGTCCATCTCCTGCAACATCTCGTGGTACCTGGCGGCCGTGATTCTGCCGGAAGAGTAAAGCAATTCTGGGCTAACAGACGCGGTATTCTTGCCGCTGCTGCTGTAGTCGTCACTGCTTCTCCTGGGGTCGTACTCGCCGCGTCCCGCTGCCCCTCGGCTGGAGAAAGCTCCTCCCACCAAACGCCGTTGTTTCGGCGGTTCTCCCTGACCCGGAGATATCATCGTTGCTTGCCGTGGAGCAGCTGATGATGGCGCGCCGGAAGATGCTCTCCTCGCGGAAGTGCCTGCGCCTGCTCCCGCTGCAACTACGGCGAGGCTGCTTGATTCGAAATGCCTACGCCCTTGTCCATGCATCGTCACTGACGGCAACGACGACAAAGGGGGTCCCTTTCCCGAGGTGTCTCCACTGACACCGTCATCTCCACCCGTCGCCGCGCCGGTTGCAGTCGGCGTGGATGCTTGTAGACTGGCGGACGACCTCCTGTTTCTTCGCCCAAAGGTCATCTCGCTGAGCTGAGGACTCTGCGACAGTGGGATGTAATCGCGTCCAACCGGACGGCCGGCAGAAACCCTCTCCTCTGCCGTCTCAACTTGCGTCTGGTGATCTTCCTGGACGAGAAAAAAGGGCATAGAGGGAGGGCAAGCGGGTATCCAAAGGACACGGGTTTTTGTGGTTGCGCATGCCCTCATGGGATGGAACACTCTCCTCGGTATCACCGAGCTGAGATCCTGCTATGTTGATGTCTTGCTTATTACGCCGCATCTCTGTGTGGACCATGGTGCTGTGAGAGGTGTGGCCATCACAGGGTGTTCTTGTGTGTAATGGAATACACCCAGCTTCGCCCTGTTCAGCCATACATATCTCAACGTTCGATACCGTTAGCACCGTTCATGCGAAGTACCCTGTTGCCTTGAACTTTCGTGGCACGTTTTCAGGCCACAACCAAAAACTTTCATCCTTAGGCCGATTACGAAGTATCACAAGCCCGGGTTCAGCCGGCGTGTGACACGGTTCGGTGGGCGTATGAATCATCAGTCAGCTGAACAGCAGTACGATGTTTTCGAGGGAACCAGGTCTTAATCTTCTACGGCTTCAGCGAACTCCACTACCCTTGCGCACCTGCCGAGCCTCGCACACGACGCAACCGTAGGCAGAGTGGAACTCTCCGCACTTGCAGGACCCGCAGCTGTGTCGCACTGGATGGTGCGCCTCATGAGTGTGCCTGTCACAGCAGTGACGGTAATATGCTCATCTACACATGACGATGAGAGCATGCTCGATTCGGGGTCTTCCGTGTTGTGCGCGTTACTAAAGGTTTCTGGGTACAGAGTTGGCAAACTAAATATTTTGTCTCGATGCTATATTTGTCGTTTTAGCTCTTGGTCTCGCCAAAGCTATACAGGGTAAGGCTTGCCTGGGACACCAAGCACTAGATCGTTGGCGCGCAATTGAACTTAATTTGGCTCACCCACAACGGCATTTGGCTCTCCACGAGGAGGCATCAAAGCCGGGTCTTCTCGGTAGCCACCATTCTCCGATCTCTTCCGGCCTAGACGGGACGAAGTCGAAACCTTGGCATTCGCAGATCTTGCAAACCGGCAGGCTTTTTTCGGGCAAGTCCGCGGGTTGGCAGTTGAATCAGAACTTTCATGGCCACGGTCTTGATGCCCTGGTTGTGGGTGTTTTGTTTGATGACTTGCATCGAGAAGAAGTTTTATGAGTCTGTGCCCCAACCCAGCGTATATCGAGACTTCTCACCCGCTGGTAGAATGTCGTATGTTTAGAGGTACAATAGCTTGGCCTCCCCCCGACCGTTTTCCAAGTCTCGATGTAGCAAGGAATCGCAGCTGCCCACAAGGGTGGCGTTGAAAATTCCTCCTGGAGATCCGTGTCCTACATCGTACAATTTCACTCTGTTGGCTGCTGTGGACTACCATAGTAGCTGACTCTTAGCAACAGATCCCTGAAGGGCGGCCTCCATAATGTACACATATACTTTCAAGGCAAAGCGTGCCATTAATAGTTGGACACACGGTGAGACCATGTTGCTCACTCAAGCAGTAGGGATGATGCTCACTCATGCAAGCAGTAAATAGCTGCATACCCGTCGTACAGAAAGCGGGGTGACAGTAAGTCGGTCGTGAACCAGTGTGTGTGCTCGATGTGTTCTGTAAACTGCTGTACGTGAAATGTCGACTAGAGTAGTATGTAGTTTCCAGTAAGGGTCGATTGGCTTTGGGGTCAACTTAATTTGCTCTCTACCCAAGAGGGTCTTTTTTTTTTGTGTATGGACGTAAACAACCTCAACGCGCTCACGTGTATCCTCTCCGAAAGACGTGCATCTTGTACAAGCACCCGCAAAAGCAACGGCTCCTGGTGTTCAGACGAAGAGAAAGTTCAAGTCTTGTGAACGTATGCGCAGGTACGGTTAAATGAAATTAATCGAAGGCGTATATGTAGGTGCTTACCAGGATCTGATTCCACGCACTTCGCAGTATATAGATGTGCGACGATGTATCCAGGGTTCGCCCGCACTCTATCTATGGGGTACGGTACGAAATCTAAGTACTCCCGGTACACTACACAATAGGGCACCGCTCAAGAAAGAGCCACACAAGACGAAATGAAGCACTATTTCGTGTTTGGACGGCGTGTATGGTGACAACGTGGCCCGGAAGTCTAGACTACAATAATACATGGTCTGCAAAACAAGTCATGCCTTGCCCGCTTGGCAGGACTGGGTGTTTTCGATCCACAGCTTGGTTGAGACTCACAAACTGCCCACCCTCGCACAATCCTGACCCGTCTTCATGGACCTCCAAGTGACGTAATGCCCACTTGAAATCGCCTGTAGATTGGCGGGGCGGACTGTGTTCGATACCAAACGCCGGCCGAGCGAACATCACGACACCACAGTAGTGGCACTTCAAGATCATTACTACAATACTGTTTGGTATACCCCCCTTTACCTCTTTTGGGCTTTTGTCAGCAGCTCCTACAACCTGTCGACGGTGCTACAGCAGCCGAGGAAGTGGACCTGGGTTCCGCTCGGGAGCACCATCTCACTGACTGGCACCGCTAGCAGGGGAGAGCATGGGCTTAGTTTGGGGAATTCCAGCTGGCTGCAACCTCTACACTACGTGGTATCACTTTTCTTCGTCCCTGGCCAAACCGTGGCCTACACTGCTGTACACCGTTCTTCGAGACAACCTGAGCGAACTGTCCTTCCTTCAGGCTACGTCAATATTGAGCTGCTCTCGGACAAGAGAGGAGTGCATGGGGTTGATGAAAAAAACCACGTATGTAGGAGATAGAGGCCTCCGACAAGTATCTCTTAGCTCTGCTGTATCGCTTGTAAGGTCTGTCTTCTTCGGCGAACCAAGGTTCAATTGCCGTATTGACGGCGTTCATGTCCCCGGGGCATGGCGCGTTTGAAAGAGTGCTTGTGGGTGCAGCAGGGCACATAGCAGCAGTTGAAGCCTAAATATGTTCATCATGAGTTGTGCACTATCGCCTCTGCTGAGGATATTACCTCCTCCGCGGCCTTTTTTTCTTTCCGCATGATCGCTTTCGCTCCTGGGGCGATGCCGTATGGCAGAATCGCTGAAATGTCGCCCGTCCGGCCCGACGTGGCATCTCCTCCCATGGCAGCAATCGCATCGGCCACGCTGTGGTTCATGGGTACTGTCCTTCTGCCGTACCGAGAGAGACAGGGGGGAAGACCGACTCAAAAGCCAGAGAGAGACCAGAGAGAGAGAGGGAGAGAGAGAGAGAGAGAGAGAGAGAGATAACCGCACACCGCACACGATCTTTTTCGCAACAATCTTTGGCCTGCCGCGCGGCCAAACCTCGAGAGAACCAAAAAGTCGACCCGAACGGGCACATACACGTGCTTTGAACCTTGAAACGCCGAAAAAATCTTCGGCGCCTAAATTGATGTCCGCGAAGTGCTGCGCCTAAATTGATGTCCGCGAAGTGCTGTTCTGCCCTAACCCAACCCTTCCTGTGTTACCCTGCTAGAGTGATCGAAGACTACACGCAAGTGAGTACGACATCTCAGAATGACCAGCGGACACACAAATGATATGCCTGAACCTGTTCTTGCATCCGAACGAGCGGACTAACGTTGTGTAAGATCCATGAAGGATCCACTCAATCACCCAATCACGTGAACACCCGGAGGCCAAAGTAGGTATAGGCAACAGGCGAGAGCATGATACCTCTGGGCCAACCAGACTGCGCGAGAGATTCTCTACGATTCCGGATGTTGACAATTATGTGTTGCGTAGAGGGGGCTGCTGACCCCTTCTCGCCTTTATGACATGATACCACCTCGTACAAGCTCTCCTCACGGCTCTCTTTCTGTTCCGTGTGGATTGGAGCTATTCCGATTTGAGAGACAGGCTCGTTTGGTAGGCGAACCCTTTAATGAGCGACGACAAGATGTAATATACAACACTATCCTGGACTCTTCTCTTTGGAGAGAGATTCCAGTACTTCGTTGTGTTTCTTCAAGAAAAGTGCTACTACTGTACTCTGCATAATATCCATGTAAAAAATAAATACCTGAGCCTCCCCGAGCTCTGTCAGTTCCACCACGTTGTCTGGCTACAGCAAACTGCCGGCCCATCTATGGAACCGTTCTTGCGCTGATCACTCGTGACGCTAGGCCCATCTACGTAGTACGTCTTGGTCGAGATCGTTGTCATACCGCATGATGGGTATGTACTGTATGTCCTTCTACCAGTAGGAGGAATAGAATTTGCGATCAAGGTGTCCAGCAATCAAGCCATTGAGATGGCATGGTTTGCTTTTTACAACGCCCGGTTTGCCTGTGATCTTCCCCAGCAGTGGGTCCAAAAAAAAAGAAGTCAAAGGCGCAGAAGGAGGCCGAGCGCCTGCAGGCCGAGGAGGAAGAGCGCAAGGCGGAAATCTTGCGAGCCAAGCGGGAGGCAGAGAGGATTCGGAAGGAGGCAGAAGACGCCAAAAGACTCAAAGAAGAGCAGGTACGCTGCATCAGTTAAGACCACTGTACGCGAACCGCTGTATCTACCAATTTGGATTTGCGTCTCAGTTTAATGGCCTTTTTTTTCGTTGGGTTCTGCACATTGTTGTACTTCGAGTAGTATTCTTGGTCAAGGAATGGTTTTGCGACATACCGAATGAGAGTTGTGGAGAGTTGTGGGAGGGCGAACTGTGATATTGTGGAGGTCCGCATCCTCGACCCTCTCATTTCTGGATTCGACAATTAAATGTCAAGTCGCGGGAGTAGAGCATAGGATTCCTCAGGGCTAGTGCGTGGTCGAAGGATATAGCAGGGGATGAGAGCCATAGTAGCCCCTCTCTGGAGAACGTAGGGCTCCTCTTTGTGCTCAGTCTACGAAAGAGAGCAAGGCAACAACTTTCCAAAGAGATGAATCAACAAGTGAGTTGTTGCCAGGGTCTTCAGGGATTGCTACGCCTGTCAAACTCGTATAACAGCACGGCATGTACGTAATCTAGGCACGCGCGGACGGCACACTCTGGATGTTGTATAGGATGGGGATACACTAGATGCTGGTGGTGGGGCACGTTTTTGTGCAGAAGTTCGCGTTTGCACCTGAATCCGAACGTAGATTCGGTAGTGTCTTGCTTGCCTCACGAGTTTGTAGGCAGACTTAGTGGTACCTGATTGCGAGTTATCCATCAAAGCACGCTGTGTGAAAATTAGATTGTCTCCCGACATCGCGCAAAAATTATTCACGCCGACTCCAAAGCTCGTACATACCGGAAATCTTGCTGTCGTGCCCAGATCGCGGATAGGACAGAGGAACTCGAACGCCTCTCTAACGAGCTGCAAGAAGCACAAGATCAGGTGAACAACGTACAACATTTGTTGGAACTACAATGTAGAGGGCCAGTTCGGATTGGCACTTCGTACCACAAGCCAAGGTGGAGTCCGAAGACTGTGTTGAAATGTTCACTGTAATAAATTGGACACCCCGATGCAGATGAGGAGTTGTTATGAAAGTGGGTTTGTGTCCGGGGAGGTGGATGCTTTCCGCAATGCACTTACGTACAAACCTGTACATCAGTCAGCGCTGACTGACCTTCGGTTGTCAAGTGCCCGAAAGTGCAGTTTGCCACGGTACGTTTGTACACTTCTGCCCTTCAGCAACTGAAATCAAACCATTGGACCAGCCAGCGGTGACTAATCTAATGGTTTAATTTTGCTTGCCTTTGGTGGCTTCATTTCGGTTTCTAAAGGGGGAAAGTGCAAAGGCCCCACGTGGCAAACTACCCTAGCGGATCGACAATACTTCTTTCACACTTCGCATCTACATAGCTTGTGTTCGTGACGTAATATGTGGTTGTGATGGTCTGATATAACAACCTATACTCAATCCCAACGGAGAGTAGATCTTCAGGTACACTATTATGAACTGTGCCTCCGTATCATGACTGGCCCTGCGTCTGGTGTCAACATCGTCATGTTCTGTACTCAGAACAGCTTCCCGCTGATACGCATTTTCGGGTTCGAGCCCAACTACGCAGTCAACATGATCGCTTTCATCTACGCGCACCTTCGGTAGATCCCTTCCCCGCTTTTTCCATCTCACCCACATCCACCAGCGTAAGTCTATCGTAACACCCTTGTTTTCTAAGTTAATGGCTTTGACTTATCGCGAACAACAGATAGCCGAGACAAAAGAGAGGCTACGGTGGGCGGAGAAACTGGAAGCAGTGCAGTCGTCGTGGGAGACGTACACCAAGTGTGATCCACGTCCGGATGCCGCCAGCGAAAAGGCCCTCAACACATTCCTCAGCCAAGGGGCGGATGAAGAGGCAAGGGCTAACACCACCGAATCTGCTTGTTTTGTTGCCCACAGCTGGTTTGTGTATGTAGTAGTGGTTGCGGTGGTCGTGATGGAAAGGTTGGTGGTGTTGGTGTTACTGCCGATGTCGTTGCGGTTGTGGCTGACCGTTCACTTCTTGTTTCTGTATCATGTTAGTAACGCTCTTTCTTGTGTGTTGTACCATTGCTGCCGTTCTGGGTTTCATTGTCGCCTTTCTTTGTGGGTGTTACTGCTGCTGCTGCTGCTGTTGTTGGGTTTGTGTGTCAAATGAACCCTCTCTTCTGGTTCAACGTGTAGGTGCCAGAGTTGGACCAGGCGATGGAGAGATGCGTCTACGGAGAGTCGATCGCGGCCGACTTGCTCAACGATATCGGTAAGAAATAACGACGGGCGATTGTATCATGCGCACCAAACCGAATGTTTTCCACGCACTGTCGCGATGCTCACGCCGCCGACATGGTGGCTTGGAGGTAAACGGTGCAATACTTCAGAATCTTCCAGCGCAAGGGCCCCTGACACTCGCCGAATACTATGTACAAGTCGGTGACAAACACCAAACGAGCCTCGTGGGTTTCTATGTGTGCTGGATGCTGGGTGGTGGATGCAGGAGATATTTCCTTGCCGTTTCTTCCCTGCACGCGATCAGCCTAAGAGTTGTAAAGTTGGTTGGCTTTTCGTTGGTGTGTATTTCTCTTCTCGGGTTTGCACGTGGCCGGTAGGATAAAACCAACCCTAGACGCACAGTCTTGGCTTGCACGTTGAACATCGACAGGGTCACTGTTCACAAACTACAAGCAGCAATAGTTGGCATGTACAACCCAGATAGCACACAGTTCACGACCAAAGCGCGTAGTTCAAAACCCACAGGCCAATCGCTGGAGAACGGTGACATCTCGCGAATGGCCCGAAACGAAGAGTTTCTTGAACTCCTCCGAGGCCTGTCGTTCGACAAGATTGACTTCGCCACCGCTCATCTCCTCAGCCACTGGGATTCACTCTCTGGGGGAGACGAGGTACGCCACAAGAAAGGCAGCCTACCTTATAAATCCGAGTAGAAAATAGCATTTTCATACATCGTACGTACAGTTCGCGTGGCGGTAGTAGGGTTTCTGACATGAAGACGGGGGCGACGTTGAGTCCACGTACAATTTAGTTACAAAAATTTCGGGAGAGGGCTTGTGCGTGATGCGATCAGGGGTGAGCTTTATTTTCAACAGCAATTGACCAGGTTTGTATGTTTTCATGCCACACATTCGTCTATCATGAAAATAAACATCGCCGGGACAGGTGCGGGGTAGACGACACGACTTGGCACCGAAGAAAGGAGAGTTTACGCTGGTTTGATACAGCCAGGAGCATGCGGCATTCGCGCATGTTTGTACTTGTCTCACTGTGAAGGGGTGTGCCACTGAATCTCAATGACGTGATGTGACTGGTTTGGAAATGGCGCAAATATTCCATCAAACCTGCGTTGAAACTGCCTGAGATTCCGAGCGTCCATTCTCCTCCGGTATGTGGTGCTCCTGCCACACTCTCATTTTTTTTGCGAAATGCTAAAAGAGGAAACATATGTTTGCTCAAGTATCCCCCTGCGCGCCTGCCTCTACCACTGCTAATCTTTCTCCGGCATGAACGCCAAAACAATCACTCCCCCCGATCGACTCTCTCTACCTCTGGTAGGATTTCGACCGCACGTGCATGACAGCGGGCGGGATCCGCGTCGGGGTGTGGGTCAACGTCAGCCTCAAGGGTTTCCGCATGAAGACGGTGGATTTTGCCGCGGCGGGGATGAGCACGGACGTACCGCGACCTCTTTCCGGCGCAAGCGTGGCCGTTCGGAACATCTTCGTGCCCTACCGCTTCGTGCGCAACCAAGGAAACAACAACGGCAACAGCAACAACGACAGCATCGGAGCCGGCAGGGTTCCCGGGACAACAGTGGGGGGGGATGACGCAGATGGATCTAATACCAACACCGGTCCGGGGGCTGTGCCGAATGATGGATCAGCGCAAAAGGTGGAAACAGCACAACTGCGCACACTCCACCTCTAACGACGCTAATGACAGCTTTCTCTTGACGTGTGTGCGTGCTTCTGCACTACCGGGGAACCCTACTCAGCCAGATAGGTTTCCAATGCTACAAGAGGGGCCAAGGTTTCTCTCTGATGTCCCTCCCCTCAATCTCATTTGCTCTAGAACGTTGTACGGGCAGGAAAGTTTTCATGAGAAAAGAAAGACAGGAAAGCGTCGTCAATACTTTGCCCGAGCTTAGGCCATGCACAACGAATCCACGGTACGCCGAGAAACCACTTATCGGCCGTTCATTTCGTTGCCGTTGGATACCTAGCGCGCTTGTATCACGCCACAAAGTGTATCGTTCGCCCAGTTGCTTCGCTTCTCACCCATTCCCTCTCCGTGCCCCCCCCCCTCGACAGGCCTACACTACCCACGGTACACAGGACGAGAAGATCGTGCTTGGGGGCACGTTCTTCTTGGAGATCGTAGCCCTTCCACCGGGAATCAAGAAAATAAAGGTAAGACGGACTCGAGAGGAACCCCCCAAGTTAGTCCCGCCAACGCTTCATTAATATCTGTAAGGCTGTTTTACAAGTGCCCGCCCCTCTGAATGCTCTCCCATGAGATCCGAGGTCACGAATCCCCTTCATTCTCGGAAAAGCGGCGATGTTGCACGCAAGCTCACGACGTACAGCCCCTCGACTGATCTCTTGTGCCTAGGATCGATCGTGTTCCGCTCGCGTTACCACCGAAGGTTCTTTTGGTTTTGAACCGGCGGCAATCAACCCACAGGAGGACCACATCTTGTACTCTCACACTACATTGCTGGTGATCCCGTACCATGAATATTTTCCTTGGTGCCCGTACCATGAGTTTTTTCTCAATCAGTTCTCCAGTCCCCCATGCAGCAACCAAGTGATTGCATTGAGACCTTATAACCCCACCCAATCGTGAACGAGTGTATTTCCATGTTAAATAGGTTCCAACAAACAACCACCTAGTAGCTAGCGACTGAAAAGTAACCCGGGCGACCCGTATTCTTGCGGAAAACCGCGTCGTTCTTCAGGGATGGGTGTTTCGCGCGGAGACGGAGCTTTCCAAGGCCGTTGCCCGGCAGACGTACCCTCTCGAATGGCGGTCAACGCGGCTCTAGCGCCCGCTTTGAGGGTGCAGTTCGAGATTCCGGATGGCGTTATCATCCCAAAGGCTCCAAAGGTATGACTCGGAGGGTAGGGGGGGGGGGGTGTACTCATAGTCGTGCATGCCGTAGTCGTTTGACCATTGACCTCCCATCCCTACAAAGCCGGGACGGAGCACGCCGGGTTCTCACCGGACCAGGCTCTCACATCACCAAGCGCGAAGCGCCGTGAGGTATTTGGCGAGTCGCATGAAGGGTGAGCTGCATCCTGCTAAGGGTGTTCGGCATCTTGTGCTTACTTCCTTGCGTACGGATGACAGCTACGTATGACTTAATTTATTTTCTGGTGCTTTCACTTCCAGAGACAGTTGTAAGCACTGTGTAACTGCCTCGAGGAAGCTTGACCATTTTAACACAACGTGGTGCGATCATCCCCCGTTGCGCGGAGTGAGGTTTCTCGACCCCGCACAACATGATCTACTCGACCACCATTATGGTTACCGCCAAAAAAAAAACGAGGTAAAAAAAAAAAACGGTAACCTGGTTGCCGAGTTCACGAAGTGAATTGGCTTCTTTTACAACGTCGTTGCCAAGCGACGAAAACCCAACCCCGATGGCAAACACCGAGTGGGCGGCTGGTTTTACAACGTCGTTGCCAAGCGACGAAAACCCAAACCCCGATGGCAAACACCGGGGGGGGCGGGAGGGTAGGGGGGGGGGGGG